GATGGGATTCAGGACCAGCAGCTGTGATGAGAGCCTCTTTCTCAAGGGGGAGGGGGAGAAGCTGGTGCTGTTTCTGGTCTATCTTTGCTCCCACTGCCAAACACCCTACCTCCGTGTCTTGTTGGGAGATGCAACCGTTAGTGGAAAATTCCATATCCAGATGGATATATCAACGGCATTCCGTTGATATATCCATCTGGATAATGAACTTCCCACTAACGCTGCATCTGCCAACAAGACACGGAGGGTAGGGGGTTTGGCAGTGGGAGCAAAGATCTCATTGAAGTCCCGCTTTTCCTTCTGCATAAACCCCTTAGCCACCAGCCTACTCTTGTAGATGGTGACCTGCCCCTTGTCGTCAATCTTGATCCTTAGCACCCACTTGCATTGTACCGCTTTCTTTCCCTCAGGCAGCACCACTAGTTCCAAGTCACATTCTCCAGCAGGCTCTGGTACTCAGCATCCCTTGAAGCTAGCCATTTGTCCCTATCTGGTCCAGCTAATGCCTCCTCCATGCTAGCTGGTTCCTCTGGTGCAGGGGCAAGAAAACAGTACGCAGGCTCATCCTCCTCATCCGGGTCATAGCCATGCGGTAAGAATCAGCAATGCCTCCCAGTCCCAAGCTGCTGCTCCGCTACATCATCTCCTGAAGTCAGCTTCTTAGTAGCCATACGGTACGTCCTGGCCTGGAACGGGTGTCCTCCCATCCTTCATAACGACACCCTTCGGCTTCTTAGTTTTTCCCTGCTGCTGCTCTCCTCCCTCGATCCAGCAGCTCCACTAGTGCTACCGCTAGTCTCCTTACCATCACCTCCACCAGCAGGTGCCTCCTGGCACTTCTCTTTATCACCACCCTCTGCAGCTGGCTCCTCTCCCTCCTCCCACACACTAGGAGTCAGGTCCAGCTGCATGGTGATCTGCTCCATCTGCTGGGACACCCTCTCCTCCGGCTGTTTCTCCCAGCTCCCATACATCATGCCCTCAACAAACTTCACATCCCTGCTGTCAACACAACACACCCTTGAAGGTTCCCACAGCAGCCATCCCTTGCTCTCAGCAGCCAGCCCCAAATGGACACACCAGATTGCACTCGCCCCCAACTTACTGCGGTAGGTCTTGGGGACGTGGGCGACTGCCATGCAACGCAACACCCAGCAGCATGTCCCCGACGGCTTCCTCCCAAGCCCCTCTCCAACGGCACCCACGAGTCATCCCCAACCTTTGTGATACCTTGTTCCTAGCGACGGTAGCGTCCGAACAGCATGGGGCCACATCAAGTTGCCCAGCCCAGATTCTATGAGCAGCGCCCTAGCTGTCTCCAGAATTGTCCGGTTCGCCCGTTCTGCTAACCGTTGGACTGTGGGGTGTAAGCCGTGGTCAGCTCCCTCTGGATGCCCTGCTTCTTGAGCCAGGCCGTCATCTCAGCTCCAGGAACTCACCACCCCGATCTGTCCTAATCCGCTTCACCACACACTCCGCTTGCTTCTCCACGAACGGCAGCCAATCGTCCCGAATCGTGGAGGCGGCGTGATCTTTCTGCTTCAGCGGATACGCCCACATTAGCCTGCTCCAGTCATCCACTATGGTTAGGAAGTACCGCTCCCCCTTGTGTCCTTGCACCGGCAGCGGCCCCACCAAGTCCATGTGGACCAGCTCCAACGGCTTTTTGCTCCTGCCAGCCACACTATGGAAGGGGAAACGGGTGAACTTTGAAAGGAGGCAAATTTCACAGTTATCATCGGGTGTTGTCCGTTCAGCTTCAAGCCCTTAACGGCTCCATCCTTCTCCAGCTGCTTCAGCAAAGGCATTGCCACATGCCCCAAACGTCGGTGTGCAGTTGCCCAATCCGTCTCCCCAGATCTGGCCGACACTTTCACACCAACCCCTCCAACGGCGTTGCAACTCCCCTGGGATGCAGACCCCTCTCCAGCCTGCCCCCCACCGTGCCACGCCAGCGCCGGCAGCTGCCACATAGATCTGTACACGTCCTTGCTCTTGTGCAGATCCCAAAGCACCCGATTGCCCAGCTTCCCCCTTATAAGTGCGAGCCCCATCCGTGTTGGTGTTCACCCCAGCCTTGCCAAGCTCACGGAGGGAGTTGAGGTTGGCCTTCAGGTCGGGGGACGAGGAGAACGTCGTGCAGCGCCACCGGCTTGCCATCCGCTCCCTTAAACGCAGCTCGTCTCGCACCAGCCACCTTCAACATGTGTCCAGAGGCAGAGCACACCTCATTAATCGGTGCAGCGCGTACGGTCGTCCAGCAGGTCCTTGCGCGGCGTCATTGTCCAAGCAGCGCCTGTGTCCAACACCCAATAGTCCAGGGGTGTGCAGCTCTGCTCCAACCTTACCAGATGCGTCTCCTTGCTCCCCCTTGTCTCCCATATGGAAGAATTGGCCCGCGGTGCGCTCCTTTTTCTTCTCCGCACCGCCGTTGCCCTTCGGGTTGTTGTCGGACGAATCAGCGACCATGTTGGCGCCGTTTTTCTGGTTCCTCCGCGCGCCGCCATCCTGGTGACGATTCTGGGGGGTCCATCCATCGGGTTTCTTATAGCACAAAAACCAGGGGTGCCCTTCCTTCTCACAATTACCAGCAACTCCCTTTCGTTTTGCCACTAGCTCCCGACTTGCCCCCACGTCCAGATTTCGCACCGCGACCCCAACCGGTACCTCCTTGTTGGTCGTTGGAGTCGTCGTCTTTCTTTGCACCGCGTCCCAGCACCACCGAAGCCACGTCCTTTGCCACGTCGGCTCCTTGCATCCCGTAGCCGCTGCTGCCGTCGTCTCCACCCCTCAGTTGGCGGCGACGGAAGTTCTCCTCCAGAATCTTCGTCCGCAACCCACTCGAGCGTCCACAAGCTCTGGTTCTGCGGCAGGCTCAATCCACTCGTGAATTGAAGCCACGATTCCGGCAAGCAGCGAGAGCATCTTCAGGCACTTGGTCTGCTCCGGTAGGTGATTCCCGCGGGTCGCCAACTTCGCGTAGAGATCACAGCATCTTGTCCAGGATAGTTGCACCGGCTCTCCCTCGCTTAGGCGCAACGCGGACAGCTCCCTCTCCATCATGAGCGTCGCAAGCGACGGAGGTAGGGCGTGCATTTCCTTCAACACCGTCCACGCCTTCGGACCGCACTCAACCTCCGGCAGCAGGTGCATGACGTGGTGACGCTGGTTCAGCTCCAAACTCTGCGACATCAAGTAGTAGCCAGCCGAGGCGCGCTCGTCCCAATCTTCCTGAAGGGCGGGGTCACTCGGTCTAGGCTCCTCCCCAATGATTAGTTTCAGCAATCCGATATGACGGAAATAAAGTTGCATTTTCCAGGCCCAATCATCATAGCCCTCACCATTGAACTTCTCGACGGGTGAAGTTTTTCAGCACCTCCTTGATCAGCGAGCCCTGGCTTGTTCGCGCTCCCCTTGGCGCAGAAACACCACAATCTTGGCTGCCGCTACGATCTTGGGCTGAAGATTCACCAGCTACCGCCGAGGTGTTCCCCGCCATAGCTACCTATATCGAGGATCACAATAACGCAGCTCTGATACCAGCTTGTTGGTGTAAGGGCCTAATAAACTCAAGCTATTAAGACTTTATCACCTTAAAAATCTCTCCTCGGGGTCACCTCCAAGGGTCCTTGGGTGCCTGGTACAAGACCAGCCCCTATCCCTCGGGTCCGAGTTTGTAGAGAGAGGGATCAAGAGGGACTTAGTCAAAACAGCAAGAGTACCTTGAACGTCACGCAGCGTATCGTGCAGACTGTAGATCGGATTAAGCTGAGAATTTCCTATATCGAAGCTCACTCTAAGAGCTTTAAAATAAGCCAAGTTGCCTCACGAAAAGTTTTGCCAAGTTTTCCCCTAGCATTCCGCCGTCGCACCGCGTAGAAACGAAATTCCAGGAAGGGAGGAATTCGCTTGAATCAATTTCAGTATATTCAGGTACAAACAGAGAAGGAATAAATAGCTCTAGCTAGCAAGGACCTTGGGAATCAACCTGGGAACAACCAGGGATGATCCCAAATAATTCCAAGCAACAGAACCAACCTGGCTGGACAAAACAGCAGGTGGTAGGTTGGTGAACAGCCTCTGGTTCTGTTTTTCCAACCTGGAAAAACAACAACCAGGTTCAGGTCCTAAAAACAGAACCTGTTTTGTCTTTGCCCAACCAGCCAAATGCTGGTTCCGCTGGTTTCCCCTGGCCCTGTAGCATGCAGATACAGACAACAACATCCAACCTTCACCTAAATTGTACCCCTATAGTACCTGCCCTGCTACACTATAGTCAACCAAACAAAACAGTACAATTTCGAGTTGGATAGAACTGAATCTGCGCAATCAAGTTAAGCCGAACCACAAAGCTTCCATCTTGGGTTCCTTTGCGAGCTCGTCCTTTCTGCTTGTACTGTTCATAGCGCGTACAATGTTATGCCGAAGCGCACATTGTGCGAGTACCTGCAAATGCTTCAAGCGAAAATTGCAAAGCAAACAAACAACGAACATACCAGTCACACGCAAATGCATTCGCACACGCATACTCGTACAAACAGACGGCAGGATGTCGTGCAATGTGAATTTGCCCCCAACAGTTCGCCCAGGGAGGGGGAAGCTCATCCACATATGCGTCCATGGCTGTCTGCCACTAAGAAGAATACTCACCCGCCATCGCATAAGCGTAAGAGCGCGGGGTCGGGATGTTTGGTGCATCCGGGTCTCCCTCAGAGGCAAGCAGCATAGCCACGAGATGAGGCGCACCGGCCGCAAGACACTCAAGGTCCTAGTGCCTGTCCTCAAGGACGTCCGTGCTAAGAGCACACTCACCCCCGACGGACGGAGGACAGACAGACTCAGACTCAGCAACAAGACTAGCAACGTAGTCTAGACGACAGGCAGCAGCAAAGTCAACAAGCTCAGCGACTAGGGCAGACGCAGCAGTGGACTCAAACGACGGGTCAGTGACAACAGTGGCAAACACACGCGTGACAGTAGGGTGCTCAGTACGAAATTGGTCAGACTCGGGGTCCACAACGTCAAGCAGAGAGGACGCAGCAGGAGACAGCAGAGGAACACGCGGCAGAGGAGAGGAAGGACGACGGACTACAAGTTGGGTGCCGGGGACAGCCGGCTAACGCTGACGAGGAACACGACGACCGGAACGACCAGAACGGACAGGCGAGAAAGGACACGACGCAGGCTCACGACGCTCAGCAAGGCCCCCTGTCTGCTCGGTGTACAGAGAAGGAGCAGGCAGCGGTGAGCCAGGCTGTAATGGAAGATCAGTAGACAAAGGGAGACTGAGAACATGGCGCAGCGCAGAGTCAGGCGGTGGCTGAGACGACGGAGACGGCGGAGCGAAGAACAGGCGTGGCTGTGCAGTGCCACCAGCACCAGCAACTCTAGCACCTCCAGCAGCTCCAGTACCCTCAGCAGCTCCAGCACCTCCAGCAGCTCCAGGACCCTCAGCGCCAGCTCCTCCAGGACCTGCTCCACCAGCTGCAGCGCCCCCTGAACCGGCACTGCGAGTCCCAGGGTCTCTAGCCTCAGTGCCTCCAGCAGCAGTACCCCCAGACCCAGGGTCTCCAAGAGTAGCACCCACAGACACAGCACCTCCAGCCCCAGCAGCTCCAGTACCTTTACTACGAGCACCTCCGAGACCAGCGACTCCAGCACCTCCAGGAGACAAAGGACAAGCACCACTCCCAGCTTTAGTCACGTCAGCAAAGTACCTCAAGCAGTAGAGCCCCGAGCTCCGGAAGCGCGACCCTGATGGCGACCGTACCAGTCGTGCAGCTGCTGTGAGGTGAGAGGCACACATGGACGAAGGCACCTACTCCAAGGAGACCGCGTAACAGCAGTCTCAGAACCCTCAGGCGTCGCACCCCCAGACTCAGCACCCCTAGGCTCCTCACACGCATGCTCAGCACCCCCAGACGCAGCACCCCCAGGCCCAGGACCTCCATGCCTCTCACGCGCAGGCTCAGCACCTCCAGGCTCCGCACCGTCAGGCTCCTCACGCTCAGGCTCACTGCCCCCACACTCCGCACCCCCAGTCTCAGCACCTCCTGGGTCCTCACGCTCAGGCTCCGCACCCTTAGGCTCAGCACCCCCACGCTCCGCACCCCCAAGCTCCGCACCCCCAGGAACAGCACCACCCCCAGCAGGATCTGAGTCACCGGTGACCTCAACAGGCGCAGGTACGAGAGGGTCTACCTAAGAGACACCTGAAGGAGCAGGACCTGGCGCGGGGAGGGGGTCTACCTGGGGAGGACCTGAGGCAAGAAAGATTGGCGGGGGGGGGGGGGGCGAGGGGCAGTGCGGTAGGGAAAGAGACATTAAAAGGGAACTGACTTGTCAAAGGTGACGTCCTGAGACGGAAAGACACGGCGCGAGGCGGGGTCGTAAAATTGCCAGCCAGGCGTGTCAGGGACAAAGCCAAGGAAGACGCAGGGAATGGCCCGAGGGGAGAGCTTGTACGCGGTGGTATCGCGGACAAAGGCACGAGCACCCCAGACCCGGAAATGCGACGCATCGCCAACCTTCCCCGTCCACAGCAGTGTGGGGTAGGTCTCCGGCAAGGAGACACGGGGCCAGAGGTTGAGCTGATGCGCGGTGTATCGGACCGCAAACGGCCACATAAAATGGGGGGTAGCCGCATGGATCATGGAGGTACGAGCGACCTCCATGACTAAGCCAATGCGGCGCTCAGCAACCCCATTCTGCTCTGGAGAGGCCGGAAGCGTGAACGTCTAGCGGATGCCGTGCTCCGCACAGAAGGCTGCCAAGAGGTCTGAGGAAAACTCACCACCTCAGTCATAGTGCAAAACGCAAGACAGGAATGTCCGACTAGAACCGCTCGCGGAGCTGGAGACGAACAGCGCGGATCCAGAGGATCAAAACATCAGGGACCTCCCCCTTGCGCTGCAAGGGAATGACCGTGGTGTAACGCGTGTAGTCATCGACGACCAGCAGGAAGTACCGCTCGTGGCCCTGTCCACAGACGCGGGCTGGGCCCCACACGTCCAGGTGGAGAGTCTGCAGTGGAGCCTCTGTGGGAGGGAACGAGGAGGAGCGAGGAGCGGCGTGCTGCCGCCCCTCGACGCAAGAAATGCAGGGTGGCGCAGGCGAGGGGGGGAGGGCAGGCAGAGACCTGGGAAGGCCAAAGACCAGGAAGCGAGAGTGCATGCTACGAAGGCGAGGCAGGGAGGGGTGACCAAGGCGGTGGTGCCACAGAAGAGTGTCGTGCGACAGCCGGCGACACTCACACTGGGTAGCTACCTGAGTAGACATGTACAGCGGGGGAGACAAAGAGGTGGAGCGCGACGTAGTGGTGAGGGTGTACATACTGGACCCAGGCGCACCTGTGAACGTGGCCAGTTGACGGCCGGTCCGGGAGCACGTGCTGATCGCCACACGCTGTCCTCCAGGAGTAAAGGTGTCAGTCCAGTGATCCTGAAGGACGGCGTTGCTCACCAAGTTCGTAGAGAACAAGGGGAGGTGGAGACCAGACAGCTCACCATACGGGACCGCCAAACACGGAAGCACAGTGGAAGACCGTGCAAGCACTGGGCCCCCAGAGGGGTCAGCCAGTGAGACAGGAACAGGTGCAGGGAGGGGAAGGACTGTGGTGCTGTCGCGAAAGAAACAGCGGGAAGCACCAGAGTCAAGTGTGAAGGTGTGCAAGGCCTGTGCGGACGCAGTACCAGGGGGAGCAGACTCACAAACACCTAGTGCCACAGGCACTTAACCTTGGGCTATATTGGGGTCAGGTGGCACACACAAGTAGCAGTCACCCTCAGCACTAACAATCAATGCATACATGGCAGCAAGAATAGCCTCATAGTTAAGATCAAAGATAGGTTACATCACGCCTAAGCAGGTCTGCCCAGTTGGGGAACTCAGTAGCATCAAGAAACTTGACGCGCCAGGCGTCGCTAAGCCGAGCGAAGCAGCGGTACTCAGTGTGAAACCCTATGCGCTGGCGACCAGCGCGGGGACCTGTGCGAGTGATATAAGGGCAGCGACCAGGACCCCCAGACGCCCCACACCCGGCATACCAGTCAAGAAGCTGCTGGGAAGTAGGGGTCTGGCGCTGACGCTGCTGCGGCTGCTGCTGCTGCTGCTGCTGCCCCTGGCCACCACTAGTGTCACCCAAGCCTCCACCATCGCTGCCACTACCACTCCCCCCTCCGCCACCACCGCCACCGCCACCGCTCCCGGCACCACTATCGCCCCCACCACCACCTCCACCCCCACGACCACCCCCACCACCTCCACCTCCCCCGCCGCCTCCACCACTGCCCCCTCCACTGCCACGTCCGCCACCCCTGCCACCCTTGCCTCCCCTGGAGCGGCTGCGCTTCCCACTAGGAGCGGAAGCAGCTGCGACCTTCTTAGCACAAAGGAGGTCGACACTAGCAGTTGCGGAGGCGTAGGAGGGGGTAAGAGGGAGGGGGAGCACCCCTCAAAGAGGGGAGAGCGAGGAGTACCACAAGCAGCACCTACAACGAGGATGTTCTTCTCTCTTGCTAAGAGGTGCTTCTCGAAGTCGGCGACAGTGAGAGTGGTAGGGTCTAGGGCTAGGAAGTGGTCCCTGATGGAGCTAAGAGTGTCAGGGAGGCGGGTGACGAGGAAATAGGGGTGAAGTGTCAATGGGAGTTGTGTTTGGCCCCGTCCTCGCTTGGGCGGAGCCGACCGTGGAGCCACGAAATCGCGAGGGGCCGTAGAGCCATGAAATCGTGGGGGACCGTGGAGCCACGAAATCGCGGGGGACCGTGGAGCCACGAAACAGCGGAGGACCGCGGTGGCCGCGAAACTGCGGGAGGACCGCGAAATACCCGATCAACCAAGATACCCGGGCGACGTACGCGAAAGTCGCCGGGGATGTTGTCTGCGAGGACGACCTCAGGGGTGGTATCCCGAGGTCGACGTGGCTGGTGGGCGCCGTCACGGGCGGAGTGTCTACGCTGGGCATGTGACGGGGAGTTGGGCGCCAACCAGCTGCACGCACTTGCGAAGCTGGTGCACCGTTGTCCCGCGGATGCAACGCTGTGCAGCCGACATACTGCAGCGTTGGCACACCGCGGATTTGCAACGTTGGCAAGCCGTGACTCTGCTCTGCTGGAGTGTGGTCGACCAAGTCGTGCTGGCACGCGGTCGACCGTGCTACGCTGGCAGTGGACCAGCAGCCTTGCTAGGTCTGATGTAGTCAGTGTTGCCAATGTTGATGAAATCATTCTGAACTTCTGTTGTGATGTTTTCCTAGAGAAACTCTTGCCAATTTTGCCCGTGAACTAGCAAGCAGTGTTAGCACTTGGAAACGACTAAGGAACAAACGAACACTACGATCACTCTTGCCCCGTGCCTAGCCCGTAGTCTATCTCCCGTTGCACTAGTTATCTCTGCATGGTGCGGTGAGCGTGGACGACACCGCGACGAAACCTTCGGTTTAGCTGACTTCTCACTCACCTAGATTGTTCTTAGACCGGCAGCTGTGCGGTAGTCACTATGGTAGGAGCCGTAGGTGACGGAGGGGTGGTGGACACCCTGGAGGCACGGCTGGAGAACACGATGAGAAAGCACGAGGCCAACGAGTATGGCGACATCCCCTGGACGGTCGTCGAGGCTGGCATCCGCTCCTTGTGGGCGACGGAGCACCCTCCCTCTCGGCCTGCGTCTCCTCGACCGGTGAACAACGCGGGCGGCTTCGACGCGGACGTCAACGCGGGTGGTGGCCAAGTCGGTAGCAGTGCGGGAGGCACATCGAGGCAGCGAGGTGTGATTCACGCCGATGAAGTCGGCGGCGTTCAGGCGCGAGGGATGCAGTCGTCTGCGGCTGCAGGGGCCCCGCGAAACTACGTCGGAGGCAGACGAAGTGAATTGGCGCCGATGTCGGCGACTTACGTGTCCGCGGGAGGAATTGGGCCGAGCTACGGCTACTTCAAGTTTACGCCGGACAGGATCTCGGTCACCCCTCTGCTGGTCGGTCGTCCCGACATCCTCACGTGGAAGAAAGCCATCGAGCCCCAGCTGGAGATGGCCAGGCTGATGGACTTCGCTCGTGGAACCGTGGCGACGCCGGAGGAGCACTACCCCGACCTGCGAGCGGAATTTCGCGTCGTGCAGCTGCTGACCTTCACAGTCATTTCGCGGTGCTGCTCGTCGGGCGTGCAGATCGCCCTGAAGTCGTGCAGGGAGTACCTCGATGTGGCCACCGGGTGTGGCATTTCATTGAGTCAACTTACAAGGTCACCGATGACTTGTTCATCGCCCAGCTGAAGGGGCAGTTGACGCACCTGCGTATGGGCGACAAGGAGACCGCGACTGACTACTGCGACTGAGCTCGGCCACCATACGGATGGCTGGCGCGCAATACTCAACGGCTTTGTACGTCACGCATGTCATGCAAGGACTCCCGAGCAGCTACAACTTGCTGAAGCGGCTGTCGATGGCGACGAGCACGCGAGCGACGCTCAACGAGGACACGTTGACCTCGTACATCCTGCAGGAAGAGGCGATGCAGGAGGCTGAGCGGTCCCAGGAGCTCCTCGCGCAAGTAAATTTGGCGGCCCCCGCGAAGCGAGGTGGTCTTCCGAGACAGCGCGGGCAGTCTGGTGGCAGTCACCGCGGTGGCGGGAAGCCGACGAAGGACGCTGACAAGCAGAAGTCGTCCAAGGGTGGCAGTCGTGGAGGAGGAGGTTGACGTCGGGAATGCTGGCTGTGCGGCGATCCCGATCACCTCTCCTTCGAGTGCCCCGACCGCAGCGATTCTGACGACGACGACGCGAAGGGAGGCCGCAGAAGTTCTGGCAGCCATCGTCCGCGTCGACGAAACCAACCGCGAAAAGAAAAGCAGTCGACGAAATCGACCTCGGTGAAGGACGCCGACTCTTCCGCGCGTGGCAAAGGGCGAGACGGTAAGGAGGCGTCGTGCTCGCTGGTCGGTATCCTGGAGCCGACGATCTCGCTGGCGCCGGAAGCTGGCGAGGATTTCCAGGCGGTGGCGGCAGCTGTTGCAAGCGAACCCCGCGGTGGTCCTGCTCGACAGCGGCTGCTCGCACCACCTGATGGGGACGAAGGAAGCCTTCGTCGAATTGGGGCCGGGCGGCGACGTGAAACATGTGCGTGGCTTTCAATGAGGCGCTGCAGGACGTCCGCGGTCGTGGCACGGTTGCGCTGCAAGGGGAGGCCGGGAAGCGAGTGCTCATCTCCGACGTTCTCTACGTCCCGGGCGTGCAGGCGAATCTGCTTTCGGCTGGCCAGCTGAAGGAGAGCAGGGTGACACTGAAGGAGGACGGACATCGGATGTTGCTCGTCTCCGCGGCGGGGGACGTGCTTGGTCGAGCGACGTACACCGGCCGGGTCCTCTGCACTGACCTACGCCCATGCGCAGTAAAGGCGACGACGCCCGCGAAAGAGGAGGTAGCTCTGCGGGCGATCGTCTCAGCGACCAAGGCAACCCCGAACAGGTTGCACGCAAGGCTTGCGCATGTTGGCATGGACATGATACGGAGCTCGGCGAAGCACGAGGTCGCCACTGGGCTGGACCTCACGTCGGCGACTGGCGCCGACTCCCCGTTTGTTTCGTGCGTCGGCGGGAAGCTGGCGCGGCACACCTTCCCCGACCACGACTCCGAAGCCGACGATGTCCTGGCCGTCGTGCACATTGACTTGTGCGAGCCATTTCGCGTGGCTGCCAAGAACAGGAGCCTGTACTTCCTGCTGCTGAAGGACCGCAAGACCCGCTACATGTGGGTGAGGCCGGTCGCCAAGAAGTCGGACATGCTGCTGGAGTTCCAGAAGTGGTTGGTGCTGGTGGAGTGGCAGGCGAAGCATTCGGTGCTGCAACTGTGCTCTGATCGCAGAGGGGAGTTCCTTGGCAATGACTTCACCGCCTTCGTGGACAGCAAGGGCATCATTCACGACTTAACCTGCCCTTACACCCTGCAGCAGAATGGCATGGCGGAGCGGGAGATGAGGACAGTGGTGGAGTCGGTGCGGACGATGCTGCTGCACATGGGCGTGCAGCACCACTGGTGGCATCTCGCTCTGCGGCAGGCCGTCTGGGTTCGCAACTGCCTGGAGCGGTCAACGCTGCCCGCGGGGACGACGCTGCACCAGCTTCTCACCGGGCAGAAGCCCGACCTGTCCCTGGCGCGGGTGTGGGGCTGCATGGCGCAATTTCTCGTCCCTGAGCAGCAGCGCGGTGGGAAGCTGAAGCCGAAGGCCCGGTGGGGCCTTCACCTCAGCGTGTCGGAGGAGACCAAAAGCTGGGAGCTCCTTGACATCGCCGACGACCGGGTGGTCACCACGTCGGACGTGGTGTTCTACGAAACCCTGTCGCTGGAGGTGTGGAAGTCGGAATTCGGGCCTGCGTCGGGGCGGACGCGGGCCAACCCACTTACGGATACCTCGACGGCGACGCTTCCTCTGCTCGCTGAGGTCGGTGAGCAGGCTGATGATGATGTCGCGGTCGCCCCTGCCTTCCCATCTCCTGCCCCTTCTTCCCCTCCTCTTCCAGACGGACTGAGTGGCCTGACTTCGCTGTCGGTCTCAGGCGATGAGGGGAGTCGTGGGGCGTCGCCTGTGGCGCCGGCCAAGAGCATCGCCGGTGGCCGACGTGATGCCCAGCCAGTCGCGGAGAAGCGGGCCGCGGATGTGCAGCCAACTTTGGACACTGCGAAGAAAGCCGCGAAGAATATCGCAATGGAGGCCGCGAAGAGCACTGCGAAGGAGACCGCGGAGGAACCCGCAGAGGAGCCCGCGGCTAATAGGCAGCTGACAAGGGAACAAGCAGCACCGAAGCGACCGCGGAGCAATTGGCAGGGGAGTTTTTGAACAGGAAGTGCGTTTCAGAGAAGCCGTCGATAGGGGAGCCGTCGAACGGGAAGCGCGTTTCAGAGAAGTCGTCGATAGGGGAGCCGTCGAACGTGGAGCTTGCTTCAGAGGAGCGGACGACAGGGGAGCAGTTCGATGAAGGCACATCGAGCGACGTGGTGGAGGTGCAGCCCGGACCTCGGAAGTCGGGCCGAATTCGGAGGCCACCCGACTTCTTCGTCCCCGCTGCCTTCACCACGGTGTACGATGTGGACGACGAAGACCTGGCGTACGATGACGCCGAGAAGGATGAGGAGTTTTTGGAGCTCGACCCCGACATGCACGCCGATCCCGAGCACCGTTGGGACATTTCGACCATGACGGTGAAGAAGATGTTGGCGAGCTGGAAGGGCCCAGCGGTGAAGGCCGCCATGGAGGAGGTGATTCGTGGCCTCATCAAGATGGGCACTTGGGAGCTGGTCGAACGCCCGCCGGCGGTGAACATAATGAAGAACCGGTGGGTGCTGACAACGAAGTACCGCATCGACGACACTGTCGAGCGCGAAAAGGCAAGGCTGGTCGTGCAAGTGTATGGCGCTGATTACAACGAGACGTACGCGCCGGTGAGCAGCTATGTCACGCTGAGGATTTTCCTCAGCATCGTTGCCGTCCTCGACCTCAACCTGATGCAGCTGGTCATGAAGAACGCCTTTTTGCAGAGCAAGCTCGACCGCGTGCTGTACATGTACCAGCCGGACCACTTCAACAACGGGACCGGCCGGGTGTGCAAGCTGCTGAAGAGCCTCTATGGGCTGAAGCAGTCGCCGCTGCTGTGGTACACGGCTCTCAACGACGTGTTGGTTGGCACCAGGTGGAAGAAGAGCCAAGTCGACGAGGCTCTGTACTTCAAGGTCGG